TCATTAACACTTTCTTTACTCGCTGCTAGATTCGTTTTTGTGAAAAAAAATTTGCCGGTGGTTGTGTTGTTAGAGGTGTTTTTCTCAAATTGAACATCATTTGATCCAAAAGTTTGGAATCTTTTGCAGATGTAATTATTTTGATTTCCATGTTTGGTATTACAAGTGGTGCGGAGCTCCGATTCGACGCTATGCAAACTACCCCAGTTATTCGTAATTTTGCTGGACTTGCTCTAGTTTTTTTCTTTTTTTTTGTTTTTATTTCGCTTGAAAGCTTTGTTCGGTCTTAGTGGTTTCAACTTTTGTTCTGTCGGTTTTTTGGTCAATTTTGCAACGTTTGAAGTAAAGCGGAATTTTACGCACCCCTCCCCTTACATAATTATTTTACTATGGAACTACTTTTAAAAGTTTTCAATCATCAATTTTTAAAATAAAACAAGGATAGCACAGAAGTTTCCGACCAGTCATAGAACGTTTTTGAAAAAGTCTTTTTTTTCTTTTTTTTTTCTTCAATTGAGTGTCATTTTACTAGGATTGGGGTGACGAGAAAACAATAGAAATGCGTATAAAATAAACAAATCAGGCAAAACTGACAACAGTGTTTTTCAGAATAATTAAAAACAAATTTAAAAAATGAAAAAAAAAAATCAGAGACGAACTTCTAAATTTTTCTCATTTTTGCGAAAAACGTTTTAAATTTTTTTTTGTTTTTAAAATTTTTAACTACCAAAGAAGTGCTATGTGAAGCTTCTACAACTAGTTTTTTTTAGAAACTTATTATGTTTTTGACCAATTTTCATCACAATTTATATAACAAACGTTACTCGATCACGTTGCTCGCTGGAAATTAGACTGTCTCAAAACTTTCAAACGAATTTTATGTGGTAAGTGATTTTGAGTGGAAAAAAAAATGATATCTAAGACACATTCGAACAATGGCCGGAACAAAAAATTAAAAAAATCTATTCAGTTATTTGATACATTTTTTTGCTATATGCAAAACTTTTTACCTAAAGTTTTGTGTGGTGTTTTTTGGAAAATAAAAAAATGTTTCAAGGACATCTTAAGAAATTAATTTTTTTTTAGCTTCGCTTTGATACGTGCAGACTTGTTACCTCTTTAAAATCGTTTGGTTGCCTCAAAATTCGTTATTCTTAAAGCTGGATTTCTAAAAATAGTGGTTATCCCCCTTTAATCAGGTCTCATTTAACTGACATATTGAAATTCTCCAGAATTTAAGATTTCTTGGTTATTTAAAAATAGATGCAGCATTTAAGTTGGGCAACCAATAAAGCTAAAATTGAAATCAAATATCTTATAAGCTTCAAAATAAACCTACTTTGAGCCAGCCGAACGATAATGGATAAGATGGCCTGCAGGCCATGACTAAAGAGGAAATCTATCTTTGAACAAGCTCAAGAGTCAATGCATCACTCTGGTATCAGACGGCCTCATTTTTTTAAAGAATCAACCTTGTTTTTTTTTTCGTTTTAATGGTGTGAACATTTTTTTCTCAATGTTCTCTTTTATTTTCTCAGAAGATTTTTTTCCTCTTTCGATTTCTCTAAAAAGAACTAAAAGAGCTAATCCTTCAACAGTTTTGCCCGAATGCTTCTTTTTAGGTCTTTAATTTTGTTCTTTTTTATTTTGTTTGCAGACAAGTTTCAGCTACCAAAAAAACACAAAATTCACAAAACAATTCAATCATTAGTTTTATTTACCGCTCCTGAAAATGCTAAGTAACTTTTTTAAATAACTTTCAGATGGCAAAAATAGGATCTGAAAGCTTACTTCAGTTTAATCTGGAATGTTTTTCATATCGGTGATCATAGGAACTGGAAGCACATGAGACAATTTGGTAACGCGTTACCAGTTTTCCAGCACTTAATTGCTTCACTATTTTAATTTAGGTTTAGGTGGGCTAAATTTTCCAAATATTTTTCTATTTAGACATACATTTTTTCCAGTTAAGATTTCAAATACTGGCCGAACAAAGATTTTAAAAGGGTTTAATTTTCGATACAATGGACAACAATCCGTCAAGCTCTAATTTGTTTTTTGAACTTTCGATTGGAATTTCGAAACATGAAACAAAGCATAGTCCGTTTCTCTTAATTGTTCCGTTTTCGAAGAAACAAAAATATTTATGATTGGGTGTGCTTTTTTTATTAATTGAGTTTTCGGCAATCAAAAAAACAGGTTCGAACAAAAAAGTTTTTATGCCCCATTGAAGATTTAGACTTCAATTTAAATTTAAAACATATATCAAATTTAAAACATTTTTCTAAAGATTTTTACATAGTTACATAGTTTACCTCCAATCTTTTTTTGCAAAACTTTGGGAGTTTGAAAATTGCCAATTTGATCATGCTCTGGACAAATTTATGCGCACATTAAAGGTTTTATCCATAATCCTGAAAGCGTAACGCGAACTATTTATGCGTGGCAAAAAAAATCCCTCACAAATTAAATCATTCCAAAATGAATTGAGGGTAGCTGTTCGGTTGTATTAATTTGGTATGGCTCAAATTTTCACACTTGATTTTTGATATTGTCCAAAGTTTATAGCTTTTCAATATTTGCTTTTCCCAAGAACTATTTGGTATGGATTAAGAGGCAGTCGGAATATTTAGGGCTGTGTCCTGATATACAAGCAGTCTTGTTTGTCTTTGAGATTGTTGCATGCTAGTACGATTCATGCGTTGTGAGACACGAACTAGTTTAATGCTTTAAAAGCAATCCTGACTTCTTCTTGATACCATCAGTTTTATTTTTTTAACTCAAGTTTTACCCAAAACCAGGCTTGAGGTGATTGGAAAATTTCGGGCTCAAATTTATTACGAACAGTTTTTGAAACGTATTCGTTTCGGATTTCCATGAAAGTGTCGAAATATCTGTGCCTGGGTGTTTTTTCTCCAGATAAAATTTGAAGTTATACCAAGTAATTTTGACCAATTTTTTTACATAGTTTGATAGATATTTATGCCAATTCACAAAATATAGGAAAGTTGCTGAGGTGTCCGCCCCTGAGGCGAATTTAGAGTGGGTGGTTCTAGGCCCCCACAATTTTTCCCGTTGCTTAAGACGAAGGCGCAGTTTCCCAAACCACAAAAAATACTCAAATGTTATCAATCAGTTTTTAATTAGTGACACAACAGCGGTTCACCGCAAGGAGCTAAATAGCGCGAGTTTTGGTTCTTTCCCTGATGAATGAACGGTCTTTTAATTTAACATCCAGGTTCTGTTTTTGTAATGTTTCAACCACGAAAAGTCAAGGAGCAAGTTTCGATCAAGTTAACATCCTCCAAAAATTGAGGAGCATAAACGCAGACCTTCAGGTCTAATAGCGTCCTCCCAATCTTTTGTAAGTCAATAGTTTTTTGCTTGTTTTTGCTTCATAAAATACCATTAGTTAAGGTTAGAAAAAAATTCATAGGCATCAAGGTCGGTAGTAATCTTCTAAAAGAATTTCTTAGATTTTGAACTTTTTGTTGAGGAATATATATGCGCAAAAAGTGAGGAATATATATGTTCGGAGTCGTTTTTTATTCCAATTTTGCAAAACTGTGGTCTCTCGGGGGATCAATCTCTTGATACGTATGGGAGCAGCGGAGTGTGCACACCCCTAAAATAACTTTCCAACTTTGTGCAAATTGCTCGTTTTACCATTTACACACGTGGCGAGTTATCCCGCCCTATAAAAGCGTTCCAAAATGAATTACGGTAGCTAATTGGTTTTATCTTTCCATACATGATTCAAATTGCAACACTTATATTCTTAATATGATCAGCGTAAAATTCAGAGTTTTGCAAAAACTAAATTAACCACAACTATTCGAAACCAATGAATAGGCATTTTTCGATAGTCTTTAAAATTCGATGAAGTAGTGTTCATTTTTAATAAAATGGATAAGCTGTTCACAAAAAATGAACGAAAAAAATGAAATTTTTTCAGATTTTTTTTGAAAGTCTCAAGCCCACGCGCTATCTTAATTACCAAGTGATATCTTCAAAAGTATTAAATACACGCAAGTATTGAATAAAATTCGAAAGTTTTAAATACGTTTTTTCAATCATTTTTAATAAAAACTAATTCAGATACCTCATAAAGGGCGATTGGACCATTCAGGGCTTCGCCCTGATACCAGCAAGGCTTGTTTGCCTTCAGTTAAAATGCATTCCGCTTTCCTTTTTCTCATTTTTCTTACGATATTAAGATTTGCGCTGAAAATAGTTGTTTTAAACGCACGTTGGTAGTGTAGCAAACGTTATCAAAAGTATTTCTGCAACCGTAACATAAACCAAGCTGTTATTTTCTATGTTTTTGTGCTCTACTATTCAAAAACTCTCATTTTTGAGTAATCAGATAAAAATTGGGCTCTTTTTCAAAACCTAATCTCTAAAATTGAGATGTACGAGTAAGTGGCCGTTGCGATTTTTTCAAAGGTCGTTTTCCGTTCCGCTGCGTTGATTGTGAATTCATTTCCCCTATTTTAATTTTCTATTATGGCTGATTGGCGCCTTTGTCAGTTATTTTCGATACTTTGACCTTTTCATTGTTGTTGTGTTTTCTGATTTCGAGTTAGGACATTAACCTAATAATAGCTTTTCAACGGAAAATGGTTGAAAAATTTACTGCATTTTACAATCTGGGTTAATTGAATTGCAAGCACAGGTGAATTCGAGTATTAATGTCACTTTTTCCCTTTAACAGATTATGCTCTAAACAGGATTCCCTTTTTAGCGTAAGTTGCTTTTCCCCAGTTAAGATTCCAATGCACCTCCCATCTTAATGTACTCTTCGTGAAATCATTTTTGTTCATAGTCAAATTCCCAACTAACAAAAGGTACACGCAATCATTAAAAACAACTTATCATAGAAAATTACTCGTGGAAATCATAAATTATTACGCTTGAAAAAATCCTTGTAGACGAATCACATTTTAAGGTGTGGCAAAAATGCAATAACTTGAGTTAAGATTAATTCAAAAATATTCATGGATAACAATATATTCCATATCGCTAATCCTTACGCTTAGTATAATTTGTGTTATTAAGAAAAACAACATCAACGTGCATATCAATAAATTCTCTTTCTGTCTACCTGTATAATGTTATACAGGAGAGAATAGTACCGTCACTAAGTGTTTTCCATCTTTTTAATCCATCTGGGTCGTAAAACTGGACCATCATTTCGAGGAGTTTTTCGCTCTGTTGAACTGTGCTATTTCTTTATTGTTTTTGTATTGTGTCCAGGAAATTTTTATGATTCCTGATTTTACGCTTCGATTTTTCATTTGATTCGAATTTCCTCGTTTGGTTCTGTATTTTGGTACAATTCGCTGAAAAATTATAGACTGTTCTATTAATATTCGGAGTTTCCGATTCGGATCATTTCTCATTTTTTGTATTCCGGTCGAATTCTTATCGCATTCACTCGTGAAAACTTATCGATTGTTGACCTTTCGCGCATACGTTTCAAAAGCGAAGGTGTGAAAAAACTTTGAAAGGCCTTCAAAAGGCGTGAACTTTTTTGTTTCCTTTCGAATATCGTTGCTTGTTTTTGAGAAATTCCTTGTTTATAAATTTTACCCGCGCCATAATATTGTCCTTGATTGCAGAATTTAAGGCTGAACAAAGGTAAGTTGTTTTGACATGCTTAATGATTGTTTTTAAGAAAAACAGGAAACACACAGCCGTAAACATGGTATGTTCATTGTACGTTAATAAACACTATCTCGAAGGGTTTTTCTTAAGGCAATGGATCAGAGAAATTTGAATAACGCGGAATTCGGGAGGGAAGGGAAGGTAAGGAAATAAATCAGCCTTTCAAAAAATGCATTAAATATTTCACTTTAATTGCCAATTTTTGTCGTCAAATGGCGTCTTTGATACGCCGAAAATGGAATTTTCATTGTTTCTACTAATTTTACTTTTTTGCCTTGAAAGTTTTTTGCCATTAAAATTAAATGGTGTAATTCAAAGTGCCAAGCAGAAATCTAAAAATTGATTTGATGGTCAATTTATACCATTAGCTTTTGTTGCTCTTTTGTCATTCTAAACTCAGCCTATTCAAATGCCAAATAACTCTTCTTTGATTTCTTTTGTTCGTTTTTCGATTTCTCAAATTACATTAAAATTTTTTGACTATTCACCGCCTCTAGATAAAAGATTACAAAGAGCAGCATTTATTGAAACTTGATAAAAACATTATCAATTCTTCTTAACTGAACCCCCGTTGTTAATTTTTGATACCATATGTGCGGCGCAGCTTCCTATGGTTCTGGTCGCCATTTTACCATGCTAAACTCCGTGGGATTATTCCGCAGTTCTTGTAGAAATTGTGCGCTGCTAAAGAGCCGATCGCATATTAACAGCCAGACCATTTTAATCCTTTGCTATTAAACTTACCACGCGCAAACTACAAAACATACTGGAAAGTTCAACTTTGTTTCAGTAGTTTAAGGGTTGCTTAACGCTTCTTTGTGTTAACACGTTAAGACTCGTCACAACAAATGCAACGAAACTTTGTGAAAGTTAAATCGAAAGGTAAGAGTTTTCAAAAACAAGTGTTGCATATGTTCAAGAAACAAAATCTTTTAAGCCTTATCTCGAAACTTCAGTTAAGAAAAGCGTGATTTACATTTTGGATTTGGTGTTACATGTTTAAAATGGCGTTCTACATTCATTGCAAATTTGCACCCAAATTTTGTGATTTATGATCGGGCAGGCTTGTGTCGAATCAATTTAATCCTCAGTCTGGGCTGGCGAGATTTTTACTTCATTCTTCCGGTTCAACTGATTTGTGGTCCAAAAATATGTTCATAAAAACGAGATTTATAACCAGTTTGAGACTTATTTCAGTTCATATTGCGTCCCGCTTTTGTTTAGCATAACTAGATCACTGGTACACAATACTGCTCCAAGTTATTGCGAAAATATTGAACTAAATCTTCCTAATTTGTAGAATCAATTACGTGTTTAGTTTCATTCAGAGTTTCTGTGGTTTTTATATATTTGGTTAAACTATGCCATAAATTGGTCTACATATCGTGTTAATTAAGGTAAATTCGCGCCAGAGACGGCAAATATTTACCGAGATTAATTTTTATTTAGAAAGACGTGTACAAGTTGCAAGTGTTCGCTATTACAACATGAGATTTTGCTCGTGAATCCGATGAAAAATTCTGCCAAAATGCTAAGCGAAATCCACGCGACGTCAAACAACATAGCACTGCAACAATCTACAGTTTCCTCCCTAAATAATTCCGCCAATATGTCCTATCCCAATTTCAACACATCGATCGCGTCCAGCGTTTCGTCCAGTGTATCCGACCATAACTTCAACAAATCTAACGCCAGTCACTGCTCTAGTAGCAGTAATAGTAGCGTAGCGATTGTGTTTCCGAACCTGGGGTCGACGACGGTGAGTAGCGACAGCACGAGTACAGCACAAGACAGCAATTCGGCAGCCACGACGATGACTTCGAGTGTCCAAGAGTACACATGGGCGCCCCATGGGCTGAACCGTGAACAGGTAATTTTACGCTTAAATCCCCCTTCAAATCAAGTAAACGAAACCCCCCTCCCCCCTCCCCCCCCCCAACAGACCGTTAAGATCCTCCACCCCAGCGTTGAATAAAATTTAATTTTGCTAAGCGCTGCGTGTAAAATGCTCTATTCTGATTGAAAATTCGAGGATTTTAACTAGGTCCCCCCTCCCCTTTCGAACGGTTGGGAAATTGCTGAGGTCTCCGCCCCTCAGGCGAATTTTAGAGGTGGGTGGTTCTAGAACCCAACAATTTTTGCTCGTTGTTTAAGGCTGAGGCGAAATTTCCTAAACCAGAAAACAAAACACAGTAATCCAACTGTCATTCTTAATCAGAGGCACAAAAACTGTTCTCCGTAAAGAGGTAAATAGCGCGTGTTTTGGTTCTTTCCCTGATGAATGAATGGTCTTTTTATTTAACATCCGGGTTCTGTTTTTGCCAAGTCTTAACCACGAAAACGAAAAGTCAACGAGCAAGATTGGATCAAGTTAACATCCTCCAAAATTTGAGGAGTTTGAAAACAGACTTTCAGGTCTAATAGCGTCCTCCCAATCTATTGTCAGTCAATAATTTTGCTTGTTTTGTTTCAATAAATACCATTAGATTAGAATGGCAACTATTTACTATATATTGATTATTATGTAAAATGCTCGGTTCTGGCTGTTTAAGGCGTTCATGAGTCTTGAGAACGAATAGCTTGTTTTTTTAATCTAGGATAGATTATCAAAAAAAAGTCACAAGACATCAAGGCCTGCTGCAGTAACCTTCTAATGGGATTTCTTAAATTTAACTTTTTTCCGACTTTCGAAGAAAATGTGAAATATATGCTTTTGGGTGTTTTTTTTATTCAGACCAAATTTACAAAGTTGTGGTCCCTCAGGGGATCGATCTCTTGGTCTGCATGGGTCCAGCCGGGTGTGCAAACCACTATAATAACCTTCCACGAGTCTGTCTAAACTGTTCGTTTTATAGTTTACTCGGGTGGCGAAGTATCCCGCACCACAAAACCGTTCCAAATTGATTAAGGCAACTAAGTGATTTTTTTTATTCCTTACAAGATTTAAACTATAATACTTATTTTTAATATGATCAGCCTAAAGTTCAAAGTTTTGACAGTACTTAATTTAACAAAGTTTTTTCGAAACCAATTAAATGGTAGTCGGAACATTCAGGGCTTCGTCTTGATACGAGCACTCTTTTTCGATTTACTGCGAACTTGACCGAAACTTACTGAAATGATTATTTCAGTTTTTTTGAACAACCAGTTTTTTTACCTACACACGGGTCCAAGACAATTGTTTCACAATTTTTTTTATCAACTTCAACACAACGCCAAATGTGGTTTGTTTGATCTAACCTAACCGTAAAAAAGGAGTGTTAAGAAACGATGACGTAGAGTTTGTTTTTTCTTCTCGATTTTGACAACACCCAACACGGCGTCAGGTTTAGTATTATAATAAAACCCTCAGGTCAATTCGGATTCCAAAAGAATTCAAAGTTATCTCATTGTCGAGAAAAAGTGATCTAAGCGTTCCCGTTGTGAGACTAAATTAGACGCAAATATTTGATAGAAAGCTGACTCCACAATTTACTTCTGCTACAATTTGAACAATTTGAATGCTATCACCTTTCATTTAATCGTTTTTTGAACTAACTCTACTTTCCGGTCGCACTCAATTGAATCAAAACAACAGAAATTTGAGGCTAAAAGTAAGAAAAAGTTGATTCCAATATGCTTTAAGAAACCAGTGTTCACTAATTGTGAGGGAATGAGCGTAAAAAGAACGCTTTTGGGTCAAATATTTCCAAATGATTTTTATTGCAGAGAAACTGTTTTTGCTGAATGGGGTCAATCTCTAGTATTCTAGTTTTTCAGCTGACTAAAATTTAACGAAAACTATCGAAAACCTACTCCGCACACTTCAGCAGGCAAAAGGAAATCATTTAGGTTATTCCTGCGTGCGTCACTGAGTCTATAGAAATCATTTGACATAAAATTGGTGCTCAAAGTTATCAAATGACGTCATCATATAGTGTAACTTGTTGACAAATAATCGAAAGCCGCCAAGTTGATTTACGCTTGGCGAGTAGTTTTGTGGATTTTATGGGAACACTCTAGATTTTAGTAACATAAGCTTTGCCACGATTATTTTGGAATCAATGGACTGGTACACTTGTTTTTTTTTATCACGGGTTCCCAAGTTAATTGCGCGGTTTCAGCTTTTTGTCAAAAAACATCTGATGCAGATACTTGATAACCTTATTTCCCTTGATATTTGAAGCTGTTCAAGTTATTTTTTGACAAAATGTAATTTTTTTTAAATTTCCCCGTCGTTTCTTTTCAGCGCCTCAAGTTTCTTGTTCCATTTTTTGAAGAAAGGGACGGAATATATTGCTTCGGGTGTTTTTTGAGACGATTTGAGACAGGAGGCTGAAAACTTCCTTCGTAATTTACATAGCAGGGTTTTTTTCACAGTCGAATGAAATTAAGAAAAAGTTATCTTCAATTTTAAGGGGTAGTCGGAGATCATTCAAGGTTTTTCCCTGATATACGAGAAGTCTTGTTCATGCCTAATATCAAATTCTAAACTGTTCTATTCAAGTTCCGAAAAAAATACGGAACCCTTAATCAAATTACGAAGTTTAACCCAAAACTGTAAAACCCGTCTACAAAAATACAACTATTTGTTACACTGGCAAAACCGCTTTTTTTAAAATGTACTTAGTCAATGAACGTTTGCTGGCTTTTATGCAGACTAAATTTGCTTTTGGGTTGAAACATCAGATGCATCCAGAAAATAAGAATCTTTTTTTCGTGGAATTGGCTTGCGACAAACACTAATCAGTTACTCTTACATTAATAAAAACCCTCTGGACAATTCGGACTCCAAAAACTTTTCCAAAAATTGTCTCAGTGTCGAGAAAAACTGGTCAAAAATTTAGACCAGTTTTACGATCAATTTAGTCGAAAATTTTTGATAAAAGGCTGACTTTCCAAACTTTTATACTACTACAATTTGAACCGTTTAAATGTTATTACCGTTCAGTTCATTCCATCATTTTTCCCGCTAATTCAGTTGCACTCTACTAAAACAAATCAACAAAAAATTGAGACAAAACAAAAAAAAAAGTGATTTCAATATGCTTTCCGAAACAATTGTTTACTAATTTCGAGGGGAACGCGCGGGAACGAACGCTTTTGTGTCAATTTTTTTCAATAAAATTTTTATTGCAGAGAAACTGTTTTTGCTGAATGGGGTCATTCTCTAGTATTCTAGGGTTTCGGCTGACTTATTTAGTCAACACAATTTTCGAAAACCTATTTCGCGCACGCCACTTGTCAAATGGAAATCATTAGACATTAATTTTGCCGGTGCTCAAAGTATGCTGATTTTTTTCGTTCGAAAATGTTTGACGTCATCATATATTGGATTTTGCCGACAGTTAACCCAACTTCAGAAAAACGCATTTGCACGTTGAATTTTCTGCTTTTCTTGTTGAGCTCTAGTGGTTAGTTTTGAGCTGTGCTGGTTCGTTTTGTGAAATTTCGTACCATACTTTTTCATCGGTTCTGTGTAGCTCAGGGTTGATTTAGTGAAATTTCGTGCCACTCAAATGCTCTCAATAAATTCATACATTTTGGTTTTGGGGTTTTGATTTTGAAACTATTTACATATTCAATTTTGCGCTACTTTCGCTTTGTAGACAGAAGGAGTTTTCTTCTGCCGATAAACGAAGCTAAAATATTGCAAAAATCATATTAAAAGAAAGCCATAACTATTATAAAAGAGCCGTTAACCCAACTTTTCTGAAAATGGATTTTTGTTTTAAGTGAGAATAATTGTTTATAGACTTTTTTAAATTCAATTCAAAATTAAATACGAGAAAAACTGACTGATGTGCATGTGCCCTAGAACGTTTTGACGGCGTTCATTTGTTGAAAGCAGTCATTCAAAATTGAAAAAAAAAATCATCAAATATTTGTTTCTTTTTTTGTTTTTGGAGGAAGATGGACGATTAGACATAAGATTTTGCCAAAGCTTTTTAATAGTTTCCCGTAAAACTATTTGTGTTTTCCAAAAATTTTCTCAAAATTTTCTCAATAAAAAAGTGGGTTGTTTTTTTTTTGCTTTTTATGCAAGTTTAGAGAGAAGAGTCACTCCTTTTTGATTTAAGGATAGCAAGCTAACGTTGCTACATTTTAATTTTAAAGCAATAGTAGTTCTCAACTAGGTTTTAGTCCCTCTCCTTCACCCAATAAAAGACGGAAAATGAGAGTGAATTTTTTTTTCGTTTTTTTAAATTAGCTGGGGTAAAAGATTCATGGGCTATTTATAGAACAATTTATTCATATTTCTTATGAATGAAATCTACACTTAGTTCTGCAAGGAAAGATTGAAACGAAATCCTGTTTTTCGTGTTGCTGATGACGACATTGAAATGTAAGCCAATTTTAATTTCCGATTATTGCGCTAAAGCGTTACTGAGAAGCATCCTAGTGGAGTTGCAAAAATAATCTTTTTCATTTTGAAACCTGTCTTGCTCACAGTTTGTTAACATATTGAAGATAAGCCTAGAATTTACCGAGTCTTATTTTTTCTCAAACCTAAAAGGAAAACTCACTGACTAAGAAACTTCGCTGAATTGAGTTTAAATAGCTTAAATATTCAAAAAATCCTTGTTGCGTCTCCGATTGGCAGGCTTCCAAAAATTTTTTACACACCAGAATAATGCCATTGGAAGTATCTCTGCATAATCTCTCTAACATTATTTTTATGTTTCCTGAAAACTGAATCCCTATTACTTTTTTTAAAAAACACAAGCAAGTGAAGGGAATTCAAACCAATGTTTTTAGTTGATTGAAAAAATTTGTCCCTATACACAATGGATGCCTCGATGTTTTTGCAGAATTTACCGGGTCCAGACATTCTAAGGCAAACCGAAATTAAGTGCAAATGAAAAAAATGAATCGAGAGGGAATAGATCATGACGTTTTTTAGTCCTATTTTTTCCATCAATTTTGTACATAGTATATAATATGGAGATTTCAAACGGGTTCCACGCTACAGGAATTTCTATGAGCGAAGCTAAAATATCACTGAAAATAAAATTTCTATGCTTTTAATTTGTGTAAAACCATATAATTTGGAGATTTGAACAAAAAAACAGTGTCAATAATCGAAACCAAGGAATTGAGGGAACCAAGGAAACCATTATTTAATTGTTTTCTTAAACAATCGGTCCTGCTCAATGGCAGGACGAACAGTGGGGGGAGGAGGCGAAATGTCGGTGCCTACTTGAGGAAGCGGAAGACATTGGGACCCCTCCTGTCGTAACTTTAGTAGGGTTTGAACTCACTACCCTCATGCTGAGAGACGCGAGCCTTGTCCTCTCGGCCACGGCCATTGTTTTAGTGATATTTGTGTTTGCAGATCGAACAGTACTTCTCGCGTCTGCCTGAAGAATGTGTGCCTCGTGTGAACTCAGTGGGAGAAGGGAACCGACTGCGTCAGTTGATCCTCCAACTGCCCCCTCAGGACAACGAGAGCAAACACTGCGTGGAATTGAGTGGGGATGAGAAGAAGGAGTTGAGACTGTTCTACGTGGAGAGAAAGAGAGATAGTTTGGGCAGAGGCACTGTGAGACCCATTCCACATAATCACTACGGCATGGAGTGCGTCAAGGTCAGTCTATAGAGACAGTGTGAACGCTTTAATTTAAATTATGGTACGTCAAGGTCAGTCTAGAGAAAGTTAGAGAATGTTCCGACCATAATAATTTGTTAAAATGTATTAAAAAAGTATCCTTTTCTTAAAAAAAATTCTCCATTTTTGTCGTTATCTTGTGCATGCGAGGAAGCTGAAATTAAAAAACTGTACAATTATGTTAGCATTACAGCAAGCGGATTTAAAAACTTAAGAATGATTGTGAACCTATGATGCAGTAAATATGAGGTCAAGGAGAAAATGCTCGACAATATAAAGGCAACCCAGTTAATAAACACACAGTTACTTAATAACTACTTAGTATCAATATAAGTAACAATTAAAAAGTTGCAAGAAATTTTTAGCCGGCCAGTCAGTAACTTGAGCTGTTTCTGTGTAGTGTAAGACGAATATCGGAGGTGGTGAACTGGCAGTGTTTGCTGTGCGTGCTGGACACTCCAAGTGCTGGCATCCAGAATGCTTCACGTGTGAGACTTGTGAGGAACTGCTGGTGGACCTCATCTACTTCTGGAAGGATCCACACATATACTGTGGCAGACACCACGCACAAGTGCTCAAGCCACGATGCACGGCTTGTGACGAGGTCAGTTACAAACAGGAATTGTAATTTTCAGTATAATTTAGCCTAGTTTTGGCGCCGAATTGGCGGAAACACTGCGTTTTTGGCACCAAAGCGTCTTTTTTTTAGAAATTGTCTGTTTTCCGCTAGGTTATAAACCAAAGCTGTTCCTTTCAAGCACGCGATTGTTAACTTCCTCTTCTAGAATATGGGGACGGTCCAAATTACTTTCAAACTTTAACACTGAAGATTGTATGTTCATTAATTGCTTACCTTTTTACATTAAATAAATTTAGTTGAGACTTAAAATCAGCGAGATTAATGACCAACATCAATTTTGCAATTTTTATCAAGTTTTTAAATGCAATTTGTACGTTTTTTTTTTTCATTTTCCTTTTTTGACGCATTTTTGCATTCCATCACTTGCGCAATTGTCAAACTTCATACTTATTTGGTAATACTTAATTGGTTTTTCAAGTTCAGCAAAAACTTTCTGTATGGCTGGATCTTTCAATTATAAAACAAGCCGCAACTTTCATTACACAGCTCTATTTTGGGCTTTAACATTTCAAATATACGGAAAACAAGTTTTTTTATGCATAAAACAATGTGAAGTCTGACAAGATGTGAAAACATTGAAAAATGTTCGAATCGTTTTGTGATTTTCCCCACAATTTTCGAAGAAAGATACAAAAAAATATCTGCTCGGTGTAATTTTTTTGATCACTTCCAACTTTTTAAACAACGGTTTTTGACAGACGTCAAAATTGTTAAAAGTCACCAAATTTGCAAAATCGGTCACTCCGAAAAAAAAATTTCATGTCATTGACTCCTTTTTCATAGTGCAAACTTTTAAATTTTTTTGTTGAATTTTTTTTTGTCTGAAGTAATGAAAACTACAGAATTTAAAAAGGAGTTGAAGTTTAGTTTAAAAAGACAAAAGGTGTTCCGTGTTCTCATCAGCATTCTAGTTTCCATTTGATCAGCTGGGTTCGCATCATATGATTAAAAAAATGACGCAATCAAAAGCCAGAAAATGACGCAATCAAAAGCCAGAAAATGACGCAATCAAAAGTTCAATTGAATTTTTAATTTGACAGAACGGTCAATAGCTAGAGATTCTTTGAGAAGGACTTTTTCAAAATAAATGCAAATTTGATTTCGTCTCCAGAGTAATTACAATCATTCTAAGTAGTAGACTTTTTTTTCGAAAAATGAAAACCGCTTCCCATTTCGCCGCGCTAGTGAATAGCATGGTAATAAGGCATGTTTGATTTATGGAAGCCACGCCCTGTAGGGACAAGCAACAACATTAGAACATGTAAAACAGTCTTTTCAAATCTGCGCGTAAATTATCAGCCTGTTTTGCTTTTTTACATCACTCTAAATTGACGCTATCAGAAGAAAATTTGTCGGTTTAATCCATTTTGAAAACTAAATTGTTTGATGAAATTATAAAAATATTTTTCGTTTATTGATATTTTGGCGACAATCATGGTGTATGGGATTGACTGTTAAATGTCGAAGTCCTTCGGCAGTTTGACCTTTAGGTAAAGTTCAACCGCGCATAGAGTCGCTCTTAATCTTAACAAGCCGCCTGTTATCTGGTGTAAAAGCGTTGGTAGATGAAGTAAATACTTCTTTTTGAAGCATTTCCTGATTTTACTCTTTCCAACTTCAAATCAAGTCAAGTTGGATCTTTGCTCGGTGAAGTTGGAAACAATATTCACAGCCAATTTCCAATCCAAATCCAATTAACGGAGTCCACAAGGATGCAGCTTTATCTTCCGTTAGTTGAACCGCTCGTCTTTTAAATCTATTGGACAAAGCTTCAGGGCAAACTTATTTAGCTTCCCAAGAATTTTCAATTCATTCATTTCTTTATTTAGATTTTCAAATTATTTATCATCGAAACCTTTAACATGATTTAGAATCTTGAAAACAATATAAATGTTTTGATAAGTTACGCTGTAAAATTCAAAATCTAGTCGAGTAACATTTCTTTTGCATATGAGCGTAGCCTAGATTGTTGACCTTGCAACCTTATTATTCAGACTTTCCATACGAAAGTAACGGAATATTTGTGCTCGGGGTGGGTTTTTTCTTCAGACAAACTTTGAATTTTTAACTAGCCATTTTTGACAGAATTTGTTTTTAAATATCATTCAAAAGGTATTTTTGCCTTGATCTTAAATTTGAAAAAATACTTCACCTGTGATTATTTTTCGTGAAACTATGGGGGTTTAAATATTGCCATTTAGGCGAATTTGGCCAATTAACGCACGATATATTTCGCGCTATTAACGCGTAAGCGGAGATGTAATCCGTCTTAGAAATCGTTCAAAATTGGTTGAAAGAAGCTTATTTGCCATAATTGATTTGTTAAAAGGAGCTAAATATATTCTTTTGTATTGTACATGGCGTGTGGGGGGATAGTTTTTATAAAGAATTTCAAATTATAGAAAAAAATTCGCCCTGATACGAGCAGTCTTGTTGAGCTTTTGTTTAATTCTTTCTGCTTTTGTTTTAAGTAAGTGCTGACAGGTTGTAACGCAGTTAGATTTTTTGCCATTTTTCTTTGCAACGAAATTGAAAATTGTGTAAATGATTTAATGGCTTTGTCTCGTTTGTCGATTAATTTTTTTGGCTTTCCCAATAATTGCCTGGTGACAAAAAGCCATCTTCTTAATCTATTGAAAAAAACGGTTGTTAGTCAGCTAGCCAAACTAAATGCAGTAACTGCTAAATGTGATAAAATTCGTATTTAAAAAACGACTGGTTGTTTTATTTTTCGGAGAAAATAAGACAAAATTAAACTGTTTTTTTTTTCTCTTGTTTTTTATGAGCGTTTTTTTCTTAAACTGAAGTATTTTCAAGTTGGCCCAAATACTGCAAGTAAATCTGTCTAAATTCAATATAAAATAAACACAAAAACGTAATTTCTTGGTCAACAAAAACATAACTTTTTGTATCATCTTTCATACGCTATGTAAAGTACAACTAAATAGAAGAGCAAATTTCATTTTGAAACGATTTGAGAGACGGATTACATTTCAACTTCCGCGTAAATAGCACAAAACATATCGTCCGTTAATTGTCTCAAAATGGCAATTTTTAAACTCCTATAATTTTCACGAAAAATGATCTTAGGTAAAATATGTTTTTAGCTCTGAGCTCAGGATAAGAATACCGTTTGAAGGATTTTGAAAAAAATTGGTCAAACATTACTAGTGAAAAAATCAAAATTTGTCTGGAGAAACAACCACCCCGAGCACAAAAATTTTCCGTCATTTTCTTCGAAATTTGGAACAGTAAGTTGACCTTCAAGTATTGCTGACTAGTTATTGTTCCGACTATTTTCAGACAAAGTTCGACTTCTTAACTAACAATTTTGACAGATTTTTAAATTTCATTCGCAAATTTTGTTGTCTTGAGCTCAAATTTAATGCGTTATTACACCTCTCATCACTTTTTTGTAAAGTTTTGCGGGGTTTAACGATTGCTAATTTGGCCAATTTGGTACCCTTAACGCGCTATATACTTTAGCTATCAATGCGTAAGCGGATATTTAATCCGTCCTAGAAATTGTTCCTAGTTGGATTGAAGCATGCTCGTTGGTCTATTTAATTTATCGTTATATGCAAAATGTATCACTTTGTACTTTGCATAGTGTTTGAGGGATAATTTAAAAAAACTAATTTCAAATTTTTTCATTCTTTTTGAAACCTTCTTTTCTTTTCCCCATATTTTTTCAACTTAAAGTTATTTTTGTGCGTATTTTGATAAAAATGATCTGATTTTATCCTAGCAATAAGGAATATTCGACAGTCACAGTAAAGTAAGAAAATTGGGCAACGTTGTCAGTCAAAAGAGGACAGGAAAACACAAAAAAAATTGTTCTAGAATTTTTTTCTATTTTTTGTGCAGAAATTTTTTTTAATATCAAATTTTTTTTCCAACGATGGTACTAAAAAACTTCAAGAATTAACTTAACATTTAACTAAAATCAAACTAAAGTTTTATAGTCTATCTTTCTAAAATAGGCCTGCTCGCTTGCTTTTTGTGCTTGAAATTAGGATAAAACTCAAAAATTCAAACCGGTTTTTCTGGGAACTTGCAAACTTTTTGAAAATGTCGCTCGAATCAGGGCTGAAAGGGCTTTAATATGATATATCACTCCACCAAGTACGATGATTTTTCATGGTAAGTGCTTTTGGTTCAAAAAGAAAATAAGCCTGCTCGCTTGCATGACTCGCTCGTAAATAGACGAAAAATCAAAAATTTCGAATTGGTTTTTCGGGAATTTTTTTTAAAAAAATTTGCAATGTATTTTTAGAGTCGTGTTTGAATCACGACTGGAAAGGATATTTTAAAGCATGTCGAGGGTTCTTTGTCCGCCTCAATTCTAGTTGCCGAATTTTTGAATTCTGGATGGAAGTTCTAGTTACCGAATTTTGTAAATTCCGGGTGGAAATTCTGGTTGCCGAATAAGTAGAAAGATATATATTTACTGCTATTTGATGCCCGGAGTGTTTTGTTAATCGAGGCTGGACCCATTTCTCAGTTTAGGTTCGATAGTTTAGCAGTTTTCATAATGTACTTTCTGTTTGCTAGTTAAGATCTCACTGAGACTGAGCTTGTTCATAGTGTGCCCTAATTTTATGTCGACGGGTGTAAATTTGTGGGTGGGCTTTTTATTAGAATCAAATCTTTCCTCAGTTTGAGTTTAACTTTGTGCAACTTAATAGTTTGTGTCTTCTCTATTAGTTTTAAATCTCTTAATGAGATGTCTGTAATCTCCAAGAAATGCATGCAATTTACATAATCGGAAGATTGGCTGCTCAAATTCCAGAGATTTTTTCTAGTCGGGATATGGAAATAAAAACCTTGATTTTTAGGGCTCAAATTTTGATGGCTTGCACGTAGCCTAATTGAACTTTTTTCAATATCGTGTTTCAGTAATCCACACCCCTACTGCTCAGATAACTGAAACACGATATTGAAATTGGTCAATAAGCTTACGT